AAGGAACCCCCCAAAAATGTCCCCACAAAGTAAAAAATTTCGACAATTTTTCCCCATAACGTAGGTTAATGCGTCAGTAACCATTCACAACATTTGGCTAAGGCTTTCATTCTCCAAGTCATAAAGTTCTGGAAAAAAACATGAGGGTGAGTAAATGGGGCAGACTCTGATGTTTTGACTCAACTAACGTTAACGTAACGTAAGTTAACCGTTAAGTTATACAGTTAACGTCGGGGTGACTAACGTTATGCAAACGCCCATCAAAAACATCGCGTGGTATTCATAAGAAATCTGTTTTCTTTGTCCCACATATAATTGACACCTACAGAACAACATAGCTGTCTAAATTTGTTTACCTTTAGATTTAAAGGGTAGTTGATGATGCCAATATTATATCTGAAGATCAATGAACTGTCCCTGCTGCTTTCCTGCTCGGGAACTTTCAAACGGCAAGTTTGTTTGAATTCTGCAGCAGTCGTCAATCACATATCGCGAGAAAACGCGAGGTTTCCAATCCTGAACAAAGCGTCGTCCTCTAGTCTCTCTAGTGTCACTCAGTGGGCAAAATGGGCACACTGGTTTGATTTAGATCAGAGGTTCCCAAAGTTTTTACTACAAAGAGCCAAAAATCTAACTTTATTTTTGAATGTACTGTAACCCGAATGCAAATGTTGCATTATATCCAACTATATTATATTTAAAAAAAAAAAAAAAAAAAAAAAAAAAAAACATTCTCAACATTTCAATGCAAAAAATAAAACAAACAATTAATAAAAACACCAAAATATCCTTCAATTGCATGGATATCCCCCTATTTTTGGCACCCTCTTGAGATATTTGACCTTAGAAATGCAGAAGGCTCACAGTGAGTTCGGTGTCAATAGTATAGGCCATGTGAGTTTACCTGATTGCAGTGAGCATATGGAAAATCCACAGAAAATTAAGTATGCTCTTTTTAAGAAAAGCTTCAATAAAAAGGTATAAAACACAAAACTGTTATGCTGGTTTTTAAATAATGATTGGATAAGAAACAACAAAATAGGCACTCTTATTCAAATATGAGGTCAGTAAGATTTTTTTATGAAAGAAATCTTTTGAACTTTATCTTTTGAAAGAAGCCTCTAACGCTCACCAAGCCTGTATTTATTTGATCAAAAATACAGTAAAACTGTTATAATTTCAAATAACTCTTCTCTTTGATATTAAACCATATATATTTTTAATCATTTGAAGGCAAAGCTGAATTTTCAGCATCATTACTCCAGTCTTCATTGTCACTTGATCCTTCAGAAATCATTCTAATATGCTGATTTAGTGCTCAAGTAAAAATGTCTTATTATTATCAATTTTGGAAAAAAAAACAGTTTGGCTGCTTAATAGGCCTAGGATATAAGTTAGGTAATCAAGCTAACCATGGCAAAAAATATATCACATTCAAAAAGAGTAAGAAGATTATTTTTCTACTTCAGGAAGTGTGAGGGTGGAGGGAGTTACACAATCAACATTCATGGGGTTCCTGAGGAGCTTGTCAACAGTTTCCGATTCCTTGTCTTTCAGGTTCTGAGATGGCAGACAACATGGCCATTTTTACACCCTGCAATACATCTTGGATCTTGGGTGACTTGAACACAAGTGTTAAGCAGATTATCCAAGACGAATGTAAATGATTAAATTAATTTGTACCGATTTGTGTATTAATCTGTGTTTTAATTTATATCAGGTGTAAACGGGACTCATGAGTCACATCCTCATCCATCGTCAGCTACTTCTTGTGTTATTGGACATATAGGCGTAAGAAATTAAACACATTTATTCATTTATATGCAATAGTGTCCTTATGGTATCACTGTTTGAGGGACAATATCCTAGCCCAAAACTGAAAAGATGTCTGCCCCGCCCCCGACAGCCACTAACTTATTGCACCCCTAAAGCCGGGGACAATAAATAAATCAACAGATGAAACTCTAAACCCAATCATATCACAAATAAGGTCTTAAGGTCAATTCAAAATATGCAGCCAAAACTGCTTGAAACTGTATTTCACACTTAGACGATGGATGAGTTTTGCATATTAAAAGGTGAGAACACTCCACCCATGAGGATTAAGTGTCACCAAATATCTGTAAAGTGCTGGCTCCAGACACTTCATCTGTTATGCAGATCACGACCATCCGTTCCTATTGCTCATGCTGAGTAATAGGTCACCCGGCCAGCTGTCCCCTGTGGTGGAAATTCACCAATAAAATTAAAGTCAGACCACTCAATGGTAATTTACCATTGGTAAACATTTTATAAAATGTATTTGTCTGAAACCACAATCCAGGGTAGTCTCTCTTACCGAAACATATCTCAGAAAGCAACAAAATGAGCTAAGCAATACAGAGTATTTATTTAGTAAAATCACACACATATTCATTGATTGGAGAAATTTCTTTATTATCATATCATTATCATAAGGCCTACTTCCATATATGTGCATTTTTCCGGTTTATCTTCATGCACATGGGATCCCATAATATGCACATCTGATATAAATACATATTTTTTTAATTGGAAACATTTTATCTGACTCCTAGACTCTCTCCATGACCTTGACGAGGCATTATTCATTATTAAGTTGCTTCTCACCGCATTTGTAGATTAACTTGAAACTTCAGGGGGAGAGAGAGAGAGAAAATAAAAAAGGCAATATATAACAGTGTGTGACAGAAAAAGGGGGTCAGTGCTCAATTATCTGCCGAGTGTCTCAGATAACTTACATCTCCATACAACAGTCAAAATCTAACCTTTTATGCTGCATAACTTCTGTTGAGCAGCACCCTGCTTGAAACCTTCAATTAGTCCCCTTTCAAGTTAACAGTCTTTTTTTTTTTTAAATACTTTGTCATCCTTCCCTAATCCTTCTTTTAAAATACATAAAATAAAAATACTGGTTTACACACACACACACACACACACACACACACACACACACGCACGCACACACACACACACACACACACGTCAAAAACCTCAAAATGTATCTTTCATGATTAAAAGTAACTCATGTAAGATTTACTAAATTAATCATGTATAGTAGTGATATTGATTGAATACATTTAAAAGAAGACAATTCAGTTTTGCAAGCAAGTTTTCCAGTTATGCCAACACACTTTATCACCAGCCTCATTGCCTAGAAATGCAATTTATCTTTTCTTTGTGTGTGTGTGTGTGTGTGTGTGTGTGTGTGTGTGTGTGTGTGTGTGTGTGTGCGCGCGCGCATACATACAGCTACTTATTGTGCATGCTATAGCAGCTTTAAGCTAAAGAGAATATTAATAATGTTAAGAAATACATTGAATTTGGGTTTGTTTAACTATTTAATGTGACCATTCAATAAAACAATCCATAAATCATTGCAAGTAAAGTTGCAATCATTGACCAGATATGATTCAGATAATATGGGTGTTAGAACTTAACCAGTCCGTGGGCAAAAATGCTACCAAGAGTAACACATGCCCTAATGGTCAAATGTGAATTCATAGTGATTCTCTCTTTTACCTGCTAAGTGTTTCACAATTTCATTGTATTTGATTTGTTAGTGCTATCTGTCAGATAGCGCTTGATTTGCTTTCTCAGAGATGAATATTGTTGAATGTGGAGCTAACAGAGCTGTTCAGTTTGTAGTTCTAAGAGAATTAGCTTTTAGACATGGGTTCCATCAAAAATCGTATTGGTTTTTAAAATGTCAAATTTGGAATTATAAGTAAAGCATTATTTAACCCCTTAAGTGTCACGGGCCCACCGGTGGGCCCAAATCCTTTACATTTTTAAAACAGTAATATCCCATACTAAACCTAAACTAATCTTGACAAACTATATATCATTTGAAAGCTTACAATCTCTAGTTTCCATATTTGGTGATTGATTTTCAAAATAAATTACAGAGGAGCCGTAATTTATCAATTTGCAACAATAATATTTTCATACTCTTAGACCTTTATTTTGAAATAGTGATGAACATGAAAAATCATGAAAGAAGGGTAGAAACCTCAGTTTGTTTTCATGCCAAGAGTTCAAAAGATAGCATCCATTAAATTTTTTTGAAAAAAAAAAGGTCTGATTTTTTATTTTTTATATAAAGAAAAAAATTATATGATGTGGCAGGAAGCTAAAATGCACATGCGTGTTTTTTTTATGTTTCTTAGAGGTTGAAATCATATCAAAATCTGCCAAATTTCTCATATTACTTCTGAATAGGATGTCTACTTCATAAATTGTATGAAAATTGTGGAAATAATGGTTCATATCACTCAAAACACATATGGAAATGGAGGCGCCCTTATATGGGCAGTAATGGAGTCTGGTTGTCATCTAGTGAAAAAGTTTGGTACTGCGCCCAAACAAAATCTTACTGAAAGCTCATTTTTTGAGATATCAACCTAAAATTTGAAACACAACTTGTTCAGATTTTTGGCTTTGATTTTTTTGCCGTTTTAGAGTCGCCCAGGTTTTAAAAATATGTATTTTATATAAAATATGAATAATTAAATTTTTTACATTGTACATTTTCATAAACTCAAACTTCTATAACTTTTTTTCTGTTTCACTTTCTTAATTTATTTCACTTCTACAAAAATCTGCCAAATGTCTTCTTTAAAACAAGACCAATCTTACGTCTATATTCCAAAGCATTCTTGAATTACAACCATTTAAGTTCGAAATGTGCATTTTCATGTATATTCAAAAAAAGGGGGGTGACACTTAAAGGGTTAAAGAGGATTCCACATGTTGTTCTTCGACTTCTACATAAATTGCATACTTTTTGCATACTTTAAAGTAAGTGTGCCTATTTGGAAAAAAAACCTGATAGGCTAGTGTATTTTGTATTATTTTAACTTTTATATGGTTAGAAGAAAATGCTATTTAAAATTCACCACCTTCCAAATTCACCAAAGCCCGCCTTTTTTTCAGCGAAGAGGCGTGTCTTCCTGCAGGAAAGAACATTGCGTCATTACGACAGTCGTTTTAAAAAAGGCCCTTTCCTTTCTGAACAGTCGACACGGCGGTCTAACGGCGAGAAATGTCAGGAATGGAGCAGCTTTGCAAACTTTTCGTTGGCGGTCTGAACGTCCAAACAACAAATGATGGCCTCCGCGCTCATTTTGAACAGTACGGGGCACTTACGGACTGCGTGGTGGTCCAAAACGATCAACTTCAGCGGTCCCGTTGTTTCGGCTTCGTAACTTACTCCTCAGCAGAGGAGGCCGATGCAGCAATGGCCGCTAGGCCACATGTTGTAGACGGTAAAAACGTGGAGCTGAAGAGAGCCGTGGCTCGGGAAGACGCGGGGAAGCCCGAAGCTCTCGCAAAAGTCAAGAAAATATTCGTCGGGGGCCTTAAAGAGAACATCGAAGAGAACGACCTCACCGATTATTTCTCGCAGTTCGGCATGATCGAGAAGGCCGAAGTCATCACAGACAAAGACACCGGCAAGAAGCGCGGGTTCGGCTTTGTTCACTTCGAAGATAACGACTCGGCCGATAAGGCCGTCGTGCTCAAGTTCCACATGATCAACGGAAATAAAGTGGAGGTTAAGAAGGCGCTGACGAAACAAGAGATCCAGGCCGCCGGTGGAGCTCGGGGCGGCAGGGGGAGAGGAGGAGGAGGAAGAGGAATGGGGCGGAATCAAAATGGCTTCGGCGGCGGGAGAGGAGGATACGGCAGCTACGGTGGTGGCTATGGCGGAGGCTACGGCAGCAGTGATGGCGGCTACGGCGGTGGCTATGGAAGCGGAGCCTACGGAGGAGGTTACGGAGCTGGATATGGAGGAGGCTACAGCGATCAGATGGGAGGCTATGGCGGTGGTAACGGCTACAGTGACTTTGGCAGCGGATACGGACAACAGTCCTCCGGCTACGGGCCCATGAAGAGTGGAAGCACGTACGCCGGAAGGAGCGGAGCCCCGTACCCCCGTGGTGGTGGCGGCAGTGGTGGTCCTGGTTACGGCAGGGGTGGCTACGCTGGCTACTAAAGCAGGTTGGGAAAAGACTCGGAAAGCTGTCCCCCTAGGTTCTCTCGGTTTCCACATTGGGCTCATTCACCCGGGCCATGCAAGAGATGGCGGACACTGTGAAAGCATACCTTAAAGACCTCAGTTCTTAACAGGTAGGAAGAAGATCTCTTCCCAGAAACCTGACTTGCTCGACCAGCTTTAGTTGTAGGACATGTTCTATCATATATATCATTTATTTCCCACGTTGTAGGACATGCAGCAAGTTGGCCCTGGTTTTCTTTTCTTTTTAATTTTTTTTTAACAACTGCGATTTGTTCGTAACCCATTCGTTTTTAAATTCATTTTTTTCCAACACTGGCGATATGTTGTCAATGCATTCTCAGTAGACTTGTTTTCTATATAAATTGTTGCTTAGCAGTGTCATGGGGGATTAACGCATGCAGTTTTGAGTTTGTGTTCGTCTTTGTAAAACCCACCACGAGTTTTTCCAAACTAGTTTATCATGATGGGATAGAGTAGACTACGTTATTTCTCTTATTTTGTAAACTAAATCAGAAACGCACTCATGAAGTTCAGTTCAACGCTGTATGAGCATAATTACTTCCAACATTCTCTTGTGTATTGTATATTATGTCTTCAGATCAATCCAGTATTGTTAAACCTTGATATGCAAATGTATGTTACTTTTTAAATAAAAGTTTCACAGCTTAATTATCCTTTTCAGACGGCGTTTTGGCTGATAGACTTTAATGGGTTTCCACCACACCTGAGATAATCATTAAAGCATATATGCATTGCATTCTACTTGACACAACTTAAGACTGCCCCACATTCAGTGATATACAAGCATATATATATATATATAGTGTTTATGGTTTATTTACTCTTGATTCCCACATATAGGTGTTCTTTCAGTTATTCAAAATAGCTGTATAGCAGTTTGTTTGCACAGGGAACCTGTTCAGTACCTGGGTTCGATTGTGATAGGACTGAAATATCTCATTAGGATATCATCCTGCGATCTAGGTATGTAATCAACCTGTCTTCACTACGTGTTGGTTAAGTATTTAAATTTTTCATAAATGGACTATTTATTCCATAAGTTGTTTTAATTAGCCTCCATCCATAAGTCAAGTGGCCTTTACAAGAACTGGTGCGATGGAATTTGGGTCTGTAACTCCGCGGCTTATTAGGGCCTTGACTTTTTTTCTTTTTTCTCTCTCAACTTTATAACTCTGTTTTCTTACATTTCTAATATGTTCTCTTTTCTTCCTCCCCAGGCGACCTCAGATGCTGGACTCTGCCCACATCAACTGTGGCCATGGAGTTTGGTTATCTGCATGATCCACTTATTTTTTTTTAATGAAGGACTGGTGAAACCTGGGATCTTTTTTTAAAATCTGTTATTTATAAGTATTTGTGTATACTTTTTAATAAAAAACTTTGACATGATCACACGTTGTTGTTTTTGTGTGTGTTATGTGGTTTGGAATTAGTTTAATTCGAATGGGTGAATCTGTAGGGATGGAGAATATTGAGGATTAATTGTAGATGGATTTGTGCATATGTGCCTTACAAACAGATGGCCCAATAGAGTAGCCAGGAGAAGTTAAAGCATCTTTTAAATTTGGGATGTGTAAAATATGCAAACAGCTCTTTTTTACAGCAGCAATTAGTGTTGAGTGCTTGTGCATTGTGATGTTGATGCATGCACTGTTGACTGTGCAGTTTAGAATTATTCACACATGGTGGAACAAGAAGGTAATTTTTGTATGAACTTTTTGCACTGCGAGTAAAACAAGTGTATTCTTTCACTTGCAAATACATGGTGAAACAAAGCAATAATACTCAAATCTTAGTACTTTAATAATTAATTTGATAATGTTTGTCAAAGCCGAACATGCACAAATGCGGTTTACAAGCAATAGCAGAATCCATCATGTGTTGTATGTATCTGTCAAATCTCCCTGCTTCATATATGCTGTGCTTGGTTAATATTGGATAACGATTTTAGTTAATTTAAAGTTATCTAACATACTGTGTTTCTTGAGTGAGACTTGTGTGATTTTTTTTGACTACTTCCTACATTAGAATTACTGAAACTCACTTGCAAAATGTTATTGGTACAGTAGTTTTGCTCAAGATCAGTATGAACTGCCATCATAAGGTACCCTGGCCACAAGCCTGAAAAATTATTCAAAAACAGGCTGAACTAAGACAGGATTTAAAAAAGTTAAAGGATTTAAAGGTTAATAGTTTGTGTGTGTGTCCTGTATATATATATATATATATATATTTAAAGTTTTTGGTTATATTGTATACTTGGTTTTGCCTGATTTCATAGTGAATGGAAATTCACCACGGGGTGCACTTTCTTAGAAATTCTACTCATTTGTGATGACTATATGGATTTAAATATATACATTTATATATATAAATATATACATTATTACATTCCTTGAAATGTAAATCTATACTCTTTAAAAATGTCCATGGCCTGAAAGTCACACTTTTGAAATTCTTTGATATTTCCAGGACCATGTGAATCCTGGATTCAGAATAGAACTACAATTTTGGTTACACGTATCAACTTAATATTTTTAAACTCAAAATTAATGTATTCACAAATTGGCATTGATCCTTTTAATTTCAGCTCACAGTGCAACATGTTAATTGATAGGACGGGGTTGGTTTAAGTGATTTACTTTGTAGCCAATCAGAAACAACTACGCATGTGTTGACGCGCACAAAAGGAAACGCCTCCACAACGCATTTCAAAAGCATTGACTTCTTTCTTCCGTTGCATGTGATCTCCGTCAGTAGCACGTCCATTGCAAGAAAATGACTAACCAGCTTTGTAAACTATTTGTTGGGGGCCTAAACGTCCAAACAACCGACGAAGGCTTGCGGGCACATTTTGAACAATATGGACAGCTGACCGACTGCGTGGTGGTGATGAACCAGCCACTGCAACGCTCCCGGTGCTTCGGCTTCGTAACGTACTCGAGCGTTGAGGAAGCAGACGCCGCCATGGGTGCTAGGCCTCATGTCGTGGACGGCAACAACGTGGATCTGAAACGCGCGGTGGCCCGGGAAGACGCTGGTAGACCAGAGGCGCTAGCCAAGGTCAAGAAAATATTTGTCGGGGGATTGAAAGACGACATCGAGGATGAACACCTCCAAGATTATTTCTCCCAGTTCGGTGCCATCGAGAAAGCTCAGGTCATCACCGACAAAGACACTGGGAAAAAGCGAGGCTTCGGCTTTGTTTACTTTGAAGACAACGATTCTGCCGATAAAGCCGTCGTGATGAAGTTCCACAGCATCATCGGACACAAGGTGGAGGTGAAGAAGGCGCTCACCAAGCAGGAGATGCAAGCCACCGGCGGTCGCGGCGGAAGGGGAGGCCGAGGAATGGGCCGGGGAAGCGGGTATGGCGGCGGAAGAGGTGGTTACTATGGCGACTACGGCTATCAGAACGGCGGATACGGTACCGAAACCAGCTACGAAAGCCAAAGTGCTTACGGAGGAGGCTACAGTGACCAGATGAGCAGCGGATACGGCAACGGGAATGGCTACAGTGACTTCGGCGAGGGCTATGGACAGCAGGCTTCTGGTTACGGTGCCATGAAAGCAGGCTACTTTTCCGGAAGGAGCAGTGGGCCGTACCCACGCGGAGGTGGAGGAGGAGGAGGAGGAGGAGGAGGAGGTGGTGGATATGGAAGAGGTGGCTATGGTGGATATTAGAAGCACTAATGTGACTCTAAGCTGTACGTCTTTTTCCCTTTTTTTAACGTAAACTGTGTGGACACTGGACTTTCAAAACTATTTGTTTGGTATTGGGTTTAAATTAGAGAATTGCTCTGTGCCATTACCAGTACCAGCAGACACGCGTTGTTTTCCTTTGTTTAGATTTAAGTGGTCCTGTTTACCCAAGTCAAGCCTGTAAAACACCATGTAGGCTTCTGTATGATCTGTTCTAGGTTTATTGCCTGTCCATCGGTAAAGATGAAACTCAGGGGTAATGAAATTTAAGCAGCTCACTTTCATTTACATGACCTCTTTCCTTTTGGTTTTAAGTGTAATTTAAGTTGTTTTAACGCCATTACACCGTTCCTGTTGTACAACTTTTTTTTTTTTAAGTATATTTAATTTGATCCAACAATGGCCATATAAGCCTTTTAACCATTAAAAAAATCTTTTTCATAAACTTTGTTTGGTTTTGACTCCTTTTATTGATGCCAACCTGTCTCAGTTGTGACCTTTCTGTAATATTTTGAGTTTGTTGTCTTTATAAGCTGCTGGGCAAACATGCCTTCAAATATTTTTGGCTACCCTCTCTTAATTTAATGAATTTAATTTAGATATCTACTCTGAACCATAGACTGTAAAAAAAATAGGTCTGAACACATTGGATTCAAAGCCTTTTTCAAACACGTGATTTGTGAACCTTCATTTAAAGTAATTACTACAGTTTAAAAGTTTGGGGCCTGAAAAATTTGTACTTTGTAAATACTTCTATTCAGTGAGTGACCAAAATAGACATAATTAATTTATAAAAACATCAATTCTTTTTCAGACTCTCAAATAATCTTGAAAAAAAAAGTGTATTACAGTTTGCACCAAAATATTAAGCATCTCAACTTTGATGAATGAAGCAAGTCAGCATATTCACATTTCTTTAGGATCATATGTGTAATGGATGCTGGAAATTCAGGGTTTCTATCACCTGAATAAAAGTTATTTAAAGTAAATTAAAACATTCATTTTAAATTGTAATTCACAATACTATGGTTTTAATGTATCCATTGATTTTGGAACTGACATTTGGGTTGTGGACATCCATTTTTTTTTTTTTTTCTAATGCTGCTACTCTTAAAATAGTCAAATATCAGATTAATACATTTGAATCACCACCATCTCATTAAAAGCTGGTATTTAGAGATCAAGGTTGGCTGACAACCAAACATTGATATACAGTATCGATCTCTTTAATTTATTGCCCCTTAGATCAGGGATGGGGAACTGGCTGGAAAGTCTTTATATCTTTTTAAAAATAGCATTTTTATTCATGGGATGTGGATTATGGTAATACCATTTAGAAGAAATATTTTTTGAATAAAGAGTTTTTAACTGTTCTCTAAAAGTTGATAATGAGAACCCAAAAATAGGACATCTATATTTGTTTGTTGCAAATTTACAGACAAAGCAATTGAGATGGTTTACATTTGCTTGTTGGGGTAGGCTAGTATTGCTCGTCAGGTAACACGAAAGTTCCCCATTTGCATTAGCATAATTGCACAACTTTTATAGTTAATAAAATCTTTAAAAACAAATTACATGAATTATACATTGATTTCCCTTAATATAAAGTAAATTGAGTAAGACGGTGTAAAAGGTGTGGATTATTATCGGGCCCCTTGGTATGAAGGAGAAAAAATGTTGGTCCTCATCACTATCGAAGTTGCCCATCCCTGCCAAAGATGAAGGAAGCTAATGAGGATTAATGTATAATTTTTGAGATACAATGTGATTTGCCAATATTCTTAATCAATGAAGCGGTTGAGTAAATGCCAAGTAGGGAAAAACAGAATTTCTGCAGTAATTATAAGATTCTGCTAACACTATAAGTTTGTCATCACAGTAAGTGGTCAAATGTCAATCATATATCTTAGAATATGTATGAATCAAAAGAGTTGTTCACTTCAAGCTTTTGGAGAATTGATCTCAATATATGTTTTTTTATGAAAAGGGACAGGTTTATTAATAAGTATATTGACAATGTCAATACATATATTAAGAAATGATCTATTAACCACACAAAGACGCAAATTTATATTTTAAATGTATTCAAGGTCTATGCTCAAGTGTGAGCAAACTGCATATCCAATTTTATTTTACAAATATTGAGAAAGCACTACCCACTACTATTGAAAGCAACTCTGAATTAAACTTTCTAGAAATGTAAGATCAAAGCAACAGTGTTTTACTATAAACAGATTTTAATTAGACTTTTAACTATTATAAATCATCAAGCCTTCATCTGACCTTGTTCCAATCAAACAATAATACCTGTGAAAATGGAGTACAACAATGTAAAGTTCAAGACAGCCTGATGAATGTTGCTGTATTGTGTCTTAATCACTAGTGACTAATGACCCCAGTGATACAACAAACCAAGTATACGCTTCTCGTTACAAAATGCTAGATATGTAGATGTTAGGAGAATAGTAAAAAAAATTTGCGTTTTTTTATTGTTTGGATAGGAACAATCTTCTGAAGTGGCACGTTGGGATATGAACACTTGATTAGCGCAATGTTACTAGCTCCTCTGAGGACGTCGGGTGAATGGCAATGGTTCTGTCAAAGTCTGCTTTAGTAGCCCCCATGTTAATGGCCACAGCAAAACCCTGAAGCATCTCATCACAGCCAAAACCCTGCATATGGAGACCAACCACCTAAAAAAGAAAAGAGGCTCAGTTGTAGCAGCAAAATACAACTAAATAATGATCCTTCTTGATATGTCATACTCATTTATAATCGATGGACCCTCACCTTTTCCTCTTTGCCAGCACACACCAACTTCATGATGCACTGACTCTTTCGAGTGGTGATGGCGTAATACATGGGGGTGAAAGAAGTGGTATAAACCTTCACATTGTCCTTTCCCCAGGTCTTGATTGCTTCGTCTACAAAACATGACATTATTAAATAATCCATTAACAGATTTATTAACAGATACAGCTTCTGATTTAAATACTGTATTATGAAAGTACCCCTATTATGCTATTTTAAAGGTTCCTAATGTTGTTTTGGAGGTCTCCTATAATATATTTACATGTATTAAAGGTAAAAAAAAAAACTTTATTTTTCTCATAATATACATTGCACATCACCTAATTTCTCAAGAAGTCTGAAAACGGTTTGTTCGAAGATTCAGTCTCTCTAAACCCCACCTTTCCGAGAGCCTACTCTGCTCTGATTGGTCAGACGACCGAGTCTGTTGTGATTGGTCTACCGCTCACAACACATGTTGGAAACGAAACGTTCATTACCATATCTGTATTTCACGTCCAGAGGCTTTTCTCAGCGCTTGTATACACAGTGATATGAACAGTAACGATGATGTTGGTTTTTCCATATCAGTTCAAGTGTGAGTCCTGATCCTTTTGAAGTGCATGCAAAGTGAATTTGCAGTGCTGAAAACAACGTCTTCTCGACATGTTGACAAGAAACCAAACTCTTCCAAGCCTCAGCTACAACTACAGTGTTTGAAGGCGTTTGATGTTGTTCGAGGGCAGCCAATGAAGAACCATAGGCTGGCATTATGCAAATTTGTTACATTGTTACGTAGGTATGTAACAGACAATAACTTTATTTTTCATGCATATTTTTCATATTTTTCAAATATTTTTCATATTTTTCATCTTTAAAAATTTGCAGACCTTTTACATTCCCAATCAGCTATATTACAAACTGCATGAAAGGTAATATTCCAAAAAGCATAATAGGGGCACTTTAAATGATGAAATTAACATGAACTAAGATTAATTAAAGCTTTAGAATGATTTTTCATTGTTAGGTCATGTTAACTAATGCAGTTACCTAATGTTAACAAATTAAACCTTTTTGTAAAGTGTTATCAATAAAATATAAATATTAAATGAAAAACGTAAACTTCAAAAATAAAAAAATGGAAGATTAGAAATGTCCTTTTGGTAACTAACTGAAATAAAATAAGTTTAAGTTCAGTACTAAAATGACTGAAACTGAAATGAAAACCAATTAAAGCTATATTCATATACAAAAACTTATACAAATTACAAAAGCACAATAAAATTACTAAGAAAGGAAAACTGAAAATATATACAAACAAAAGATAATTCAAAATAATAAGTTTTATAATAGTATATAAATAATACTAAAACAACACTAGCTACATGCGAAGTATGATGGAAATCTCAAGATACTATGAGAAAGGATTATTTGTACATCAGCTCACCTTCAGTTAGTCCTACTGTGCCGATTGGTGGGTGGCTGAACACAACAGTAGGGATATTATTATAATCGATTTTGGAGTCTGCTTTGCCCTCAAATAGTCGGTGAGCAAGCTTTCTGCCAGCAGCAATAGCAACTATCCACACAAAAAAGAGAAACAACAACAGCTTATTAGTGCAAACTGAATATACATTCCCATTAAACAGATGCTAAAGAATTAAAGTGGGAGGCCCTGCAATGTAACCCCCAACATACAAAACCACAAAACACCCGGAAGATGTTAATGCATGTAGGAGGAAATTCTATTTAAAGATGTGATCCTGAAACCGTACCAGGTGTAAGAAGAGCTCTCCCACAAACATCCCCAACTGCATAGATGCCTGGACGAGTGGTGTTCTGGAACTCATCCACCATGATATGTCCCCTTTCATCAAGCTTCACACCCTGAATAACAATACACCCTCTGTTATTCATACTTTATCAAGTTATGCAGTGCGAAGATAAAGCCTATAATACCATCTATCTAGTGTGGCTACTGGGGTTTAAAGGAATCCTCTGGGTTCATTTGAACTTTATCGACAGCATCTCTGACATGTACAGCTTGTATTTTTGTTTAAGCATAATTTTTTTTTTTTCTGTTGAAAAGGGGTAATATTGTTATGCATTAGTAATTTTAGTCCTGTGAGCAGAACTTTTATCACACTAGGCTCATGTTAACATGTATTATGTTTAAATTCACAATGCAAACGAAGTGGGAACAGATATTGTGTTATATATACTGTGACGTAAATCCGAGTGAAATGGATTATTGAAAAAGAAAAAAAGAAAATAGAGTGGGATTTCTATCCATCTGTCGTTGATTAGACAAAGGTAGATCTGAATAACAGCTTGAAGGTTGACTAAATAATTACAGAAGTCTGGGATTCGTCACCAGAGACAAGTCTGTCGTTTCACCAGAAGATTGAGTGATCACATTTTGATGAACAATTACGAGATAAAAAGAAAAGAAAAAAGAAATATGCATGAAGGAATCATATTGATAACAATAAGATCAATAAAATGCATTTAGAAAATAGATAAGGTGAATTTCCATTTCATACCAACTTCAAGTTTTGTGGCTATACTTTCAACATAATATGTATTCTAAAAGTTTACTCCAGTGCAATGCCATTCCCCATAGGATTCCATTGTAAGTGCTCTACTGT